CTCATCTTCTCATCTTCTCTTTGTCTGTCATTACTTGTGTTATTCCTACTCTTGTTACTCTCTACCCTACCCTACCCTACTACCCTACCTCGTCTATTCTCTACTAGGTACTACTTATATGGTTCATACTTGGCTGCTCGGGCCCAGGTTCTGATTATAGCGAATATTGAAGTAAATGTATATTACGTATTTGGAGTTGAACTTGAACTTGAACTTGATTTTTTTTTGATTTTTGATTTTTTGCATTTGAGGATGAAATGGATGGAGGTTTGGTTCTAAGATTCGGGACTCAGGAGGTGCACATTGCGAAGAGTTCCCTTTGCCCTGGGTACCGCGGTTCTACATATGTAGTGTAGTGATCATGGGGGTGTGGGGTCATGATGGGGTGTCTATACAGCCAGCCAAGGAAAAAAAGGTTACGAAATGAGCTAGAAACTTGAGTCGACCCAGGCTCGAACTGAGGACCTCCTGTGCACACAAGCAAATGACTGAACCATGTGAGACAGGTGCGATAACCGACTACGCCATCGACCCATGGTTCTTGGGCGTGCGTGTGGTAAGCTCGTGCGTGGGCATACCAGCGGGGATGGGGACGACTCGGTGTGGAAGATAGAAAGTGTTTCGTTTGATTTGGATATCGCGCCACGCACGCGCACGGCCACGGCCACGAGGTGGGGATCGATCGATCTACTGCGGATCGTGGTGGATCCCCATGTCTCACCACTGGTCACTGGTGACGCGGATCCCTCAAGTTTCAACAGGCTCGTACTAGCACAAAAATACTCGTACAACAATGGGGGTTGTGGGTCGGCTCAGGCTCGAACTGAGGATCCCCTGTGCTGTGCAGATTGGCATGTTGGCCGCTCGCTATTCGATGTATGAGACGGGTGCGATAACCGGCTACGCCAGCGACCGTGAACCATAAGTAGCGCTTTTGGGAGCGTACGGCGTGACGCGTGAGGGTTGCCAGTGGATGCGCGTGTGACTACTTTGAGCTCAGCGAGCAAGGGATGCGTGTATGCGTAGTAGCGAATAGTGATATACAGTAGTGATTTTGGAGAGAGACTCCGCGGAAGGCAGTGGCAGCTGAGGCAGGTGATGGGGTGTAGCGCCACGTCAGGGTCCCGATACTCCGCGACGCGACCACGGCGGCCTTCAATTTGGTGCGCTATTTGATTGCTGGATGGATTTCAGTGCCCTATAGAAGGGCCATGCCGGATTTCGAAATGGAACCACCAACTTTGACTACGCTGGAAGGAAGTTGCAAATTCCAGCAAGGCTGCGCCCGGTGATGATGATCTGGCCATCATGAAGATTGAAAGTGACTCTAGGGATGATGCGGATAATCCTGGCCAGCTGAGGGCGCTGTGATTAACACCGGGCGACTTCGGAGTTCTTAATTCGCTGAATGGAAGCGCCGTTCGAGGTTCGAGGTTCGAGCGTGCTAGTGTCAACATCATAAAACTTCCAGCGCATCCCCAGCGCATCTGTCCAAGATTTTGCCCTCACCAGGACCATTGAATGATCACCATCAAATGAAATTCCATCCCCCTAAACCCTAGAGTGGCATGCGACGCAGTCCCAGCGACTGACCGTGACTCGGACTCAGGTTTCTTAGGTTGGCTATGGCGCCACAGGGACTCAGACGGTGTTCGAATAGCTTGAGATCCATCTAATAACGTGAATCCCTTGTGGCGCGCCTTGACGACTCAACGACGGATCGGGATAGTCTATCTTGACTAGTGCGCTCTCGTATTCTGGTTTACTGAGCCTCAGGTCAACGTCGGAGTCTGTGGGAAGCAAGTTCATATTGGTGCCTTTACAAACTTGGAAGAGTTGTTGATGATGATGATGGTATTAATGAACTTTTTATAATTATGGTGTCGCTGGAAGATTTAGTAGTGTGCGCTGAATGGAAGCGCCGCATCCGTGGGCTCAAGAGTGACGATCAAGTTGCAAGTTCGAAGTAGGACTCGGAGTTGGCCGAGTTACGCGGATTTTGGCGAGCGCCCTCGATCATCCTGTCATTACCATCCATCCAAGTCGCCAACCGGCCAACCAACGACCTTCCTTTGGAGCCCATGTTTATCTTTATCCAAGTATCTTGCGCTCTCGCAGGACCAATAATGACAT